TCATCTTAATTGGGTATTGAAGGAAGTGGGTGATCTGGAATCATTTCCACCATGCGGCTTTTCTGCATCTGACTCTGAAGCACCGTTAACAATGTTATCTAGCAATACATTTCAGTTAAAATTAGAAAGTGTTACTTCCTTTTGAAGTTACCATATGCTGATCCAAACCACATTTGTGGAGTTGCTCTTTGCATTTTTTTAAAAAGGTAATCTTCATGATTAAGTTAGGAATGTCCACATTCCACTGGAAAGTCAAAATAGATGAAAGATCAGTTTCAAGACCCAGAGCAAACTATCAGCAAGTCTTTATAAATATCTAACACACAGATTTAACTACTTCTAAGAAAATCTACTGATTTCAAATGGAGAAAAACTGTTCAGTTTCAGATTAACTGAAGAGATGTTCATGATGTTACATTTGCCATTTTCAGATCGGAGCAGATCGCTCCCCTGCTTAGAGCCCTTCAGTGATCGCTGACTTCACTCCGCATAAAGTCCCAGGTACTCAGTCTGGCATTCGAGGGCAGACTTTCATAAACTGGACCCTTCCCACTATTCCAGCCTGCAGCCTCCTTTCCTGGCACTGCCTCTCCCCTCCCAAGCCAGTCAGTCAGTCAGTCTGTCAGGTGGTCAGTAAGTCGGATGGTCTCTCTCAGTCTCCATGGCAGCCACACCCTCGGAAATTACAATTCTTTCTCATTTCATACTCTTGCTATATATTTTCACACAGTGTTTCTCTATGTGTTTTCACAAAGTATTTCCCTGCCTGACAAGCCCAACCTTTTGTTTTTGTTTTTACTTGATTAACAAATACAGGAAGAGTTACTTTCTCTCGGCAGCCTTCCTTGACACCCAAGACTGAGCTGTGTACCCTGCATCCTTTTCTGTTGTCATCCATTCACTGCATAGCACTGCAATACAAACAAACTGTCAGCTTATGCGTCAGTTTCCTCCATTCAATTCTGTGCTTTCTGAGGGTGGGAACTATGCTGTCATACATCCTTGTACTCAGGATGCCTAGATAGAAAAAGCTTTCAGGCTGGGCACAGTGGCTCATGCCTATAATCCTAGCCCTTTGAGAGGCAGAGACCAGGAGAATTGCTTGAGGCCAGGAGTTTGAGACCAGCCTGGGTAATATAGTGAGACCCTCATCTCTTCAAAAAATAAAGAAAACAACTAACCCAGCATGGTGAGATGCATCTGTAGTTCTAGCTACTCAGGAGGCTGAGACAGGAGGATCACTTGAGCCCAGGAATTCAAGATTACATTGATCTATCATCATGCTACTGCACTCCAGTCTGGGAGACAGAGCGAGACTCTGTCTCAAATAAGCAAATAGCTTACAAAAGAAAAGCAGATTGCAGCTGGAGATGTGGGTTAAATCTCATGCATCTTAAGAGAACTCCCTCAAGATCAGTGGCCTTCCCTGCTACTTCCTGTCTCTGAACATATGTTCACAGAAGGGAACATTGTACAACAATGAAAATGAAATACAACTAGAGCAAAAGCAACAGCATGGATGAGACATGCAGACTGATTCCAGTTACATTTCAAAACAGGCATTACTAAACTGTATTGTTTATGGATATAGACTTGGAATAAAAACCACAAATGAAAGCCAGGAATTGATGGCTATAAGGAGGACAGATGGTGATTATCTCAGGGGTGGTTGAAGTGAGAGGAGTGTGCTTCGGAAGGGACATATAAGGGGCTTCAAGGGGGCTGGGAATATTCTATTGTTGATCTTAGTGGCAATTACATAGTGTTTGCCTTGTAATTATTTGTTATAATGTATATGTATGTGCATTAGTTCCCTACTGCTCCTACAACAAATTGTCACAAACTTAGTGGCTTACTGTAAAAATATATTATCTTAAAATTTTAGATGTCAGAAGTCCAAAGTGGGTCTCATTGGGTTAAAATCAAGCTATGGTAGAGCTGTGTTCCTTTCTGGAAGCCCTGGGAGAAATTTTTTTTTTTTTTATTTTTCTTTCACCTTTTCCAGTTTCTAGAGGCTGTGCCTGAATTCATTTCCCCATCCATCTTTGAAGCCAGAAACGGCTGGTCAAGACTTTCTCATATTGCATTATTCTGACACTGAAACCAATACTTCTGCTTACCTCTTTGACATTTAGGGACCCTGGTGTTTATAGGGAGCCACCACATGATCCAGGGCAATCTCCCTAACTTAAGGTCAGCTCATTAGTAACCTTAATTCCATCTGCTGCCTTAATTCCTCTTTGCCATGTAATATAATATATCCACAGGAACATACAGATTGTGGGGATTAGGACGTGGGCATCTTTGGGAGGCTACTATTGTGCCTACCACTGTGTGCATTATGCACATTTTTAAATCACTATTCTATTTTATAATGACACAAGGTTAAAAATTAAATTGTGATATGTAAATACAAATGATTCCTATACAACCACGAAAAAGAATGATACCTTTTATTTAGTGTTATGGAAAGACCTCTAAGAAATATCTAAAAACATGTTACAACCATTGTATAAGGTATACTATCATTTATGTAAAAAGGCATGAGAAGGAAATGGAAACATCTCTATGTGTATTTGCTTCTATATGCCATATATATCTCAGAGTAAAGTAAAACAAAACAAAACAAAACAAAACAAAACAAAACAAAACAAGGGAAGGAGCTTTTCGGTCTGCCTAAGACATATTTCTAAGTGACCTAAGACCAGGAGGTTTTGCCAGCTCATTGAAGATAATAGTAAGGAATCATCACTAGCCCTTGAAAAGACAGATAGAATTGCATAGAATTTGCAGGAAAGATAATATGGAATTACCATGTAAACAAAGCCCTTCCCTAGCAATCGTATCTTTTAATAAACCACTAACAAAATAAAGAAGAATGTCATGCAGATGGAAAATTATACTATTCAGTTTACCCAGGATGTGAATTCTGTGGTAGAATTCAGAATTACAAACGAAACAATAGATAAATACGACTAGTTGTGTAATGTTTGGGAACCTCCCGGAGAGCAGCCAACCCCCTGGAACAGGGCCAAGCACGACTTCCACAGGGAGCTGCAGATGGGAGGCAGGTCCCACCACCTGTGGCACGGGAGCTACTGGAGTATTTCTAGCCCATGTCTGACACTGCTGGACCAACATTTCCTCCAGACCCGTTAGGAAGGCTGGTGTAGGTGACGCTGGTCTGAAGTGTGGAAACAGACCAGAAACTCCTAGACCATTCTGCATTCATTCTAGGGACACCTTAAGAGCACCACACTTGTGTGCAAGGGAGAGACAAATCATTCATTCACTTTTTCAATTATTTGCTCATTCATTCAATCAACAATTATTAAATAGCTTTATTTTCTTGGTGCTAGCAGGAGAAGATAAACTGTATGATTCCAACATATAAATTTCAAAAACAGGCAAAACCATACTATTTTGCTTAGGGATGATTTTTAGGTGGTAAAATTATATACGAAAGGAAAAGACTAACTATCATAAAAATCAAGGTGATGGTCCTACCCCAGGAAGGTGAGGGGAACTCAGCAGGAAGGGACACACACCTGGGGAAGGTGGGGGACAGCACAGGTGCAGGTCAGGCAAGCCCATCCTTCTCTACATTCTTAGCCTGCCCTTTTTTACACAGAGAGGAGTGACTATACATGCCTAAGGACTGAGTGGTGGAATATTTGCATTTGAAAGGACTTCGATGACTGTACTCTTACTACTCTTGCCCCAGTTTAAAATAACCTCAGCACCACACTTTCCTGGGAAACCCACACATAAAACCGCAGAAGTAAATAGCACCAGCTATTGTTCCAGAGGTTGATTTGCTCCATTGCTGCTGGGATTAACTAAAATAACATCTACCAGGCTTCTTCACTTAGTTTTCTCCCGTATATAATTTGGTAAGTATTTTCAGGGAAGATATTTTGAGACTACATAAAATCGTCTTCTATGCCCCACTTTCACCCATTACTTTAAGATCCATTGATGCGTTTTACCTGAATTGTTATTACTGTGATAACTGCCAAATGATACATATTTATTAAGTCGTTTCATAGATTCCTATTTAATCAGTGGATTATAATCTATTAATATCACTATTTATTTTGATTCTTGGCTTGTTCCAAATGTGGTCAGTGGGAGTTTCTTTGCTGGCTTCTGTGTTATTTTGACATATCCCCATCATTCTTTGAGCCTTTCCTTACTTTCCAGCAAAGGGAATGTTCTAGGCTCAACTTGTTCTTTCCCTGCCTCAGTCCTGGAATCAGCCAGGTCCTTTCACTAGAGAGTGGCATTTAGAAACCAAGCTTTGGGTGCTTTGTGTGCTCAGTGCCAGCAGGATTTCACAGCTTCCAGGACCTCTCAACAGACACAGGAAATATACACATTTATGTACATATGCATATATGCACATTTACACATATATTTATTTCTTATGTATCTATACATGTCAACAACAAGTTCATATTGACAACGCCAATTCCAAAGGGTTTATCTTAGCCTTCTTTGTATCTCCTTCCTCCCGGAGTGAAAAATACTGGCTCTCATCCTCCTCAATATATTTATTTTTTGTTTAATCCCTCTGTATTATTGAATCTCCTGATGCCATCAGCTTGCTACCCTATTTGTACACCCTCCTTGCTGCTCTGGCCTCTCCCTTCCCATCCCACTTGGCATGCATTATTTTGATTAAAACTTCAAAAGAAAAAAATTAGTAGCCAAATACTACAAATGGCACAAAAAAAATAACACTGTGGGAATTTGTCATGAGTAGTGATCTTACTGCTGTAAGATCCATGGTTCTTACGTCTACTACACATCACAACCATAAGGCACTTTAAAGTTTGATCTGTTCTAAAAAAGAAGTGACAGGTGCATTGCTTGGCTCCATTATTCCCGCACTGATATGGTGCACTGCCCATGGCCTGAGCACACATGCACGCAGATGCCCCTACTTCATGCTCAGGGCACTTAGAAACCTGAGTTTACCACATGGAGGAGGTCTCTACCTGAAATGTCACAGTAAATGGTCTGTTGGTAGAGCTTGGCTTCTACAGGGTTAAAGTACACAGTGATTTCAGCTGATGAATTGGGCCAGACATCACCTTCCTGGAAAACAAAAGAATCATTAAAAATAACATTATGATGAAAGGATGGCACTGCTTTTAAATGTTGTTATTATGTTATAATTTTACAAAATTTTTTTCATAAAAATTGTATATATTTAAGGTGTACAAAATGTTTGATATATATATATACAAAGTGAAATGATTACTGCAGTCAAGTAAATTAACAAATCCATTTCCTTACATAGTTACCCATTGTGTGTGTGTGTGTGTGTATGTGTGTGTTGAGAGCACCTGAAGTTGACTCTGTCAGCAAATTTCCTGTATATATTATTATTAACTACAGTCACCATGCTGTACATGAGGTCTCCAGAACGTATTCATCTTATAACCGCAAGTTTGTGCCCTTCGACCAACATCTCCTCATTTTCCCCAACCTCCTGACCCCTGGTAACCACCAATCTATTCTCTGTTTCTATGAGTTTGACTTTTTTCTAGATTCACATACAAATGAGATCATGTGGTATTTGTCTTTCTTTGTTTGTCTTCACTTAGCACAATGTCTTCCAGTTTCATCTATGTTGTTACAAATGGTAGGATCTCCTTCTTTCTTAAGGCTGACTAATATTCCATTGTATGTATCTATTTCTTTATCCATTCATCTGCCGATGGACATTTAGGCTGCTTACTTGTGAGTAATGCTATAGTGAACATGGGAGTGCAGATATCTCTTTGAGATACTGATTTCATTCCCTTGGGGTATAGACCCAGGAGAAGGAGGGTTGGATCATCTGGCAGTTCTATATTTAATTTTTTGAGAAACTTCTATGCTGTTTTCCATAATGTTTATACCAATCTACATTCCCACCAACAGCGTACAAAGGTTCAAGTCTAAGAAATTTAAAGGAAACATTTTGACAACAAATGCAAGAAGGCATCATTTTACCCAGCAGGTAGTAAACTTATACTGCTTGTTTACCTCTGAGGTGAAACAAGTTGGAAACAAGCTTCAGAGATAATTTCAGTGAATTTATGAATATGTAAGGAGTTACTAAAGGAAACTAGGATATATAGAACATTTTAAAAATGCATATTCAGTGAATGTTCACTGTCTGCCCAGTGTGTACCTAGCACCCAGGCTTCAGAGAAGCAGAAAAGTAGGGAGCTCACACCTTACTGGGATGATAAACATGTATACAGGTATTTTATAAAATATGTGATAAGTGCTGTGTCTATATAAATAAAGTCCAGAGGGGTCAAGAGGAAGAAGTACCTGATTTCCTTGGTGGAGGAATCACATTCCTAACTTTTGAGGTGACAGCACAAGGAAACACTCTTATTCTAGAAAAACATAGCAATAGTCTGAGGCAGAACAGTGGCTAGATTCTTTCTGTCTCTGCCCCTGTGTGGTATTCTCTCTTTAATTCAAACCATCCTGAAGTCATAATCAGGAAACCAAGTTTTGAAACTATAATGCCACATGCTATGTATCAGAATAACCTTGTTAAGTATACTTTGATAAAAAAAAATTTGTACTATGTAACTCAGGCCTCTTCATTAACTTCTCAGGGCTACAAAAGAAGATGCCAACAGCACTTGCCTCAAAGGGTTTCCTAAGGTCTGATGAAGTCATGCAGGTCAAACGTTTTGCCCCATGCTAGGTAATGAACTCAGTAAGGACTCAGCAAATAACCATCTACTATGATCAATGTTATTTTTAGGCCACTCAGAAGTTCTAAGATGAAAGTATTGAAAAAATGGGGAAATGTGTGTGTTTTTTCTATGTTTTTTATGTAAATAGGGCCAAATGACCATATTTGATAAACACATCCAGAAATATATAAACAGTCCCACCAGCTAAACAGAAAACTAAGGAAAGACAACTTGATAAATAATTAGGCTCCAGTTTCAGACAGTCTCCAATGAATACTCTATTTGCAGTCTGGCTAGAAATGAACATACTTCTGGAATAAGAATTGAGAAGAGAAGAAAATGGCTTAAAAGGCAGACATCAAACAAGAGGAGGAAAATAAAACATTAGAGCCAATTTGGGCTTATTTATGAACACAGTTAGCCCTCCTGACTTCAGAATAAGGGAAGGCACAGAGGTCCCAAGAAGTAGCAGGGAGGGCTGTGAATGTCATGCAAATTCTGGGGGCTCTCACATCCTCAGATCAGCCTGCAAGAATGAAGGCTGCACATGGGTAGGTACTGTTCTGTCTCCACACCTAGACCAGAGATTGCTCTTAGTAGGGGCTCAATAAATATTTGTTGAATCAGCCATATTTACTCACAGTTTGTACACTGTGCAGTTATTAGCAGATACCTATTCATCTTTGCAACCTGCTTCTGCCATTTTCTCTTCCTCTGGAACCCCAAAAGCCACACATTTTTAGAAGCAAAAGAGACTTGTGAGATTATGCAAGGAACAGAGAAGTGAGTACTTTCATTTCTTTAGGCATTTCACTGTGATGTTTTAGCAAACCTTGAAAGAAGTATTTGTTCTCTTCAGATAAATGACAAATACCAGGCTCTTTTGGACTGGTGGGGGGTTTTACTGATATGGAGTGTTAGAAGTACTCATGGCTAGACTAGGCAAAGAAGTTGGGCAAATGAAGTGGCTTACTCATCCATGTTTAGCTAACCAATAGTGTGTTAGTGGATATTTCATTTCAGAACCTCTGAAGTCCTGGGCTTATTACTAACCTTTGAAACAAATATATTCCCTTGGTGGGTTTAGACAGTACTGTTTATGTATATAGAATGGACGCAGCTATCCTGCTCCTACACAAATGGACTGACCAAAGTACCTGGGGCCATCTTAGATCCTGAGAGAATGTATGCTAGAAAAGTCTCACCAGAATGATAGGAAGTGGTCCCCCCAAAATATACCAGAAATAAGATAAACTCACTACCTGTGGGAAAGTCATAGATCTTATGGCTTGAGGTGGGCCAGAATGCTTTTAAAAGCATTATCCCAGCAAGAGGATCCAGGGTCTATATCCAGAAGAAGGCAACACATGTAAGTGCTATCCCAGAAGCACTCCTGGGAAGCTATCATCAAAGAAGTCTGATCAGCAGAACTGGAGGGTTGGGAAATGGGTGGTGATCGACACACTCCAGAGAGGAGACCAGAATCTCAGAGGAGTAAATGTGGACATTTGCATGTGATCGGTGAGAGTGTCGTCTGATATGGAAGCTCCCTGGAGGTAGAGAAGCCCTTCTGCGAGGTGAGGGAAGACCAGCACAGGGGACTCTGAGCCTGCAGGGTTTGGGCTGAGCAAACGGGGCTGTGGGCTCAGGGCTTTCTTATCGTGGACTGCAGCTGTTTTATTGTGCCTGCCACTAGTAACTTGCAGCCTTTGCTGAGCCCGGGAGATAATGCAAGGACAAACTCTATTTATTCTAAAATCCTCTTCTGGGCTGGGAGAGGATACTGTGTTTTAAGAGAGCTGTGTGTATCTGTAAAAACAGTGTGGTCATTCATGCTCCTCTCACAGAGGGAAGCTTTCAATATTAGGTCATTTGAAGGAGTTAGGAACATGTAGAAAGACACTTCTATTTTTCAGTTGGGATTCAAATAAAAGTTAAAAGATTTTCTATTTCTTTACAGCAAAATCTCAATAGCATTTTCTAGCAAACAAGAGAACAAACCTCAGAAACAGGCAATAAGCCTAAAACTTAGACCCCACTTTTGGTTATACATCTTTGAAACATTTATTACTTCTCCAACACTTCTGAAATTCACTTCCCTGTCACTTATGTCTCTGAATACTTTTTCTTTATCTCTCAGTTCTAAAGTTTCTGAAAATCAAAGCATTCAGAAATTTCCCTCCTGGCTCTGACATCAACATCCCTTCTTCCCAGTCCTACAAACCTGTGGCATCACACAGAGCCCCTCCTGTTCTGATGCCCTTTTCTATGTGACCCCACTCCCAACACTGCTCATTGTCCTGCTCCAAATGAGAGGTTGAGCATATAGGATCGAATTTGTAGGTGACTATGACCTTGTTTATTGAAAATAATTGTCAAAATGGCCTTCAGTTATAGTGTAATGATCTTCCTTCTTGGTCTTAATGTGTTATTTTTCCTTCAGCTCTGCAATGAGTAAAGTAATTACATTTTACTTATTAATTAAGTGGCCGGCTAGAAGGAAATCAACTTTGAATTTTCAGGACTAAAGCTAATTCACATATTGTGGTTTTGGTCCAAATATTAGATATCTCTGGACATGGAACTTCATGTTTCCTTCCCTCTGTAACAAGAATAAACAACCAAGTGACTTGATGGCCACAGTTTTGAGACTTTCTGAAAGCTATCTATAAACATAGAGTCACTGGTTCATGAGAGGTGACAAATACAATCAAGAGAAAGGTATCCTTTAAAAGCAATCTTCTTTAAAAAATTATATTGGCAATGATTAAAGGGGCTCTTTTAAAAAAATCTCCATTGCAAATCTTTAAATAAAAAAGAAAATCTTTTAAAACATCACCTTCCTTTCCCTCTCTCCACTACCCATTTCCTTTCTTTTCTTCCTTCCTTCCCTTCCTCCCTCCTTCTACTCCCTTTCTCTCCCTCACTCCTTCTTTCCCTGAAAGATTATTTCATTCAAATCTTGCCAAATCAAAACCCAAAGTGCAAGAACAGAGAGTTACATATATATTTAATTTACTTGGTTTATCTGGAAAATAGTCTATAATATGACTCAACTTTTACATTTATTAAATAAAACAGTTGCATTATAATTCCCAACTTACATTTAGAAGAATGATCCATATGTTTTCCCACTCAAATGCTATACTTTCTTTTTTTTTTTTTTTTTTGAGACAGAGTCTCGCTTTGTTGCCCAGGCTAGAGTGAGTGCCGTGGCGTCAGCCTAGCTCACAGCAACCTCAAACTCCTGGGCTCAAGCAATCCTTCTGCCTCAGCCTCCCGAGTAGCTGGGACTACAGGCATGCGACCACATGCCGGCTAATTTTTTCTATATATATTAGTTGGCCAATTAATTTCTTTCTATTTATAGTAGAGACGGGGTCTTGCTCT